GGGGCGCTGAGGCCGCCATTAGTCAAAAGAGTCCAGTGTGTGCTTGTGTGTTTTCCAATCACAGTGCCGCTTTGTGTTTTCCGCTTCTCACTGCCCGAAATGACAGAAGGGAAGAAGATAGGCTGCGTGGTGCAGGGGCAGAGGAAAAAGAGGCAAAGAAAAGGGGGGAAAAATCAGGCGAAACACAGGGGGAGACTGAAGCCCTTGTTGCATGCGAGCTGTGCTGGATTGAACCGAGGCAATGGACAGAAGCCACGAAATTCAACTGAAACGACACGAGGTCACGTCGGTGGCGTCAACATCGCCGCGCTGCATGGTCGTGTACCCGCTGGGCAAGAAGAGCAGGCAGCGCATTGGACTCGGCGACAAGACCGGCGCCGTGTCCGTATTTTCCATTGACAAGTCGATGGGGCGCGTGCCGGTGTTTGACACAACGCCGCAGGGAAAGCCTGTGAGCTGCGCAACACTGTACGAGGATCAACTTTTCTTTGTGCGCGGCAGTGTGCTGGAGGCGTACTCGCGAAAAGGGAAGCTCTTTTTCACCTTCGACACCAATGTGACGGAGGTAATTCACACCGTCTTTGTGTGCACCCCGTTTATTATTACAAGCGGCAGCTTCATGGTGACTGGGTTTCAAGAGGCGAAGGAGTTGGGATTCTACATGGCGCCAGACCGCATCAACGCTATGGTGGCCTTTGTGACCAACCCCACCAAGAAGCGAGAGGACCGCAGCTTCGATGACTACCGTTGTGCGCTTGGCTGCAATGACCGTACAATCCGCGTGCTGTGTAACCACCAAGCCGCGTTGGAGATCCACTGTGAGGCGACCCTCTCCGCACTTTGCGTGAGTGACGCGCCCTGCAAGGTGTATTACGGCACAACCGCCGGATCCTTGGGCTGCCTCGATCTTAAGAGGAGTGACTCAACGCTGATGCGTGAATTTAGCTACATCCCTGACGGGCACCAGGCGGCCGTGACGGCGTTAGCGGCGTACGACATCAATATGGATGGGAAAGAGGAGCTGCTGGTGGGCAGACAGGATGGGTCGCTGCAGGTGTTCAGCATCCACAGTGAAGAGGGTGCCACTACTTCCCACCCCATCTGCATCTGGTCGGGCAAAACGGATGAAAGCGTTCTCAGTATCGCATGTGGACTCATCACACACCCAAACCGTCCCGACATGCTGGTGCATGCCTTCAGCGGTAGAATCACCGCCTTTACGCTGAAGGAAGAAGAAAACAACGCTTCCTCCATGAAGATCGGCGCTGCAGATGCGGACGGCGTCAAAAACGAGAACCCCACGGATGCTCAAATCACAGAAGTTCGCCGAGAGATTGAGCATCTTAAGAAAGCAATAGTTGTCAAAACACAGGAGCTTGCGGATTCCACCGGCGCGACGCATGTTGGAAAACCTGTGCTTGCTGTTTCTTCCACCTTCACGACAAAGGTGACGCTGTTGCATCAGCAGAACACTCCAGCTCTGCAGCTCGTGGTAGAGACGGACACGCCAATGGACTGCGTGGCGTTGCAGAGCGAGGTGCGGCTGCATTTTGTCAAGGCGCTTTCGGCGGAGGTTGCAGTGCGGGAGGACATCCCAATGCACAATCCACACACGAAGACCCTCGCCGTTGTGCGGCTCGCCGAGGCGCGGAGGTACAGCTGCTCCGTCGCCTTCTGGGTGGAGGAGGGACACTGGGGTACGCTGAAGGTCACCGCACTCGCGGCCCCGGCCCCGCGCACCGCACAGGTGAAGGCCGTGCAGCTGCGGCCACTGCAGCTGTTTGCCCGAGTCGCTGGTAACAACGAGAAGAAGGACAACACGCCACAGTCGTCCTCCATGTTGGAGGTGAGAGGTGACTTCAGCGCCAGGGACATGCACAGCTGGATCTTCATGCTGCTACCGGGAACACCAGAGTTGTATCAGCCAAAGCTGTCCACACTGCGCTACGAGGACGCCTTCTTGCACTCCACACTTGAAATTGAATACAGCGATGGTACCGCGACGTTTTTCACCGAATCATTGCCAGCGTTGACGGTAGCGAGACGTTTTATCAGCAACTGTGCTGCGGAGCGGTCGTTGGGGGTGAGCTTCCGTGTGGCGGTGCATGCTGATGCGGTGCAGTGCAATCTGCGGCTTATCGTTCCACGCATTGCGGCCTGCAACACGGCGTCCAACAACACTCATCTCCTCGAGGCACTTCGAGAACTGCAAGGCAGCCAAGAAACCGAAATGACCTTCTTGCCGAAGGAGCATAGAATGCTGCTGGATGGGGCGGACCAAGTGGCAAAGGAGCACATACAGGCCACTCTCATGACGGCTTACCTGCAGAAGTCACTTGTGGCCCTCTACGACAGTGTCTCGGACTTTCTACCACACATACCGAAGATGACCTCGACAACGAAAGAAAACTTGGCGGCTGCGAGTTCTCACGGTGATGCCGCGGCATTGATGGCGGAGCTAGAGCGTGTCTTCTGTTGCTAGGGTGGAGAAGCGCGACGATGACGAATAACGCTCCCTGAGGAAGGGAGGTGTCGCACTGCAAGGAGTGATAGTGAGGGGGCTGGTAGGTGAGGAACGCAGCATCCCAACTTTGTCGTTCTATGATTTTGCTAAGCCATCTAGTTTTATTCGCAGCAGAATCTCGAATCTTTATGTTTTTTTTTCTTTTTGTTGCGTTCTTTTTACGTTTCGCTTGTGTAGGAAGCTCGGTGCTGGGGACGAGATGGATCCACAGGGCGAGGTGCAACAACAACAACAGCTGCAGCAGCCGGATGAGGAGGAGGAAGAGGAACTACAAGTGCCGCCGCCGCCGCCGCAACAAGTTCTCCCCTTTGTTCTGCGGGCCCCTGTTCATAAGGCGACATTCTTTTCCTTGACGCTGGTGGAGGAATTGCTGCGACACGCCCGCAAAGTGGACCAGGAGTGCCCTCTCTTAGTCCTCCCTCTGTCGCAGTCCCGCGAGAGCACACGTGTGCTTTCACGCATTCAGCGTGAGACCCGCTACGAGGAGTACTGGCCGGTGGAGCATCCGGTGGCAGGTGATGAGTGCCGTGGTGCGCCGTCTGCCTTGTACCTGCTGCGCATCGGCCTGCTGCGCGCCCTCGGCTTCCCAACGCCCGGCGTTGGCGACGCCACCGACACCGCGGCGCTCGTGCTGGGACGTGATGTTGTAACGTCCGCGTCGTCGGTAGACGGCGCGCCAGCCAGCCCGCTGTTGTACCGCGAGGCGGCGCAGGAGGAACTGCGGCGCATGGCGCTGGGCGAGTGGTGCGAGGACCTCCTATTCTTCACCGTTCACCGTGGCTTCTCTGCGGTGCAGGTGCGCTGCGTACTACTGACGGCGATGCACCTCATGAACACCGTCGCCGACCTCCCTGCCAACGCGACAGACGAGGCGGCGGAGGACTGCTGCGCGAAGGTGCTGGAGAAGCTGCTCATCGAGCAGGCGTGCGGGCTGCCGAATAAGATCGTCGAGACACGCCAGGTGGTGCAGATGACGACGGTGGAGGTGCCCGACTTGCAGTATGTTGCCACCATTGAGGCTAAGCTGGCGAAAGAGAAGAACAAAAAACAGCAACAGGCCTTGCGGGACCAGCTGGCGAACGCTCCGACGTGTAGCGAGACGCGGCGTGAAGTTCACGAGGAAAAAGTGATGACGGAGATAGTTGTCGGCCCTTACTTTACTCTGCACGAGGTGGCGCAGATACTCGACTACTTGTCCTCATCTGTTGTGCGGCATTGGCGGCTGTTCCGCAGCCTACTCTCGGAGCCGCAGCCGGTAGAGATGCATGAGGAGGTGCAGGAGCAATGGGACGCGTGGGCCTTCTGCATACCGCCGCTCACGGAGTTCCTGCCGGATGATGTGCACATGATGGAGCTTGGGCGGCAGGACCTGATGCATGCTTGCGAGGTAGCCATTGATGAGGCATTCGAGGAGGAGTTTATGCGGCCTCTGCGGGAGCTGCAGCGGCAGCGCAATGACTTACTTGAGTGCTTACAACAACAGGAGCTTCAAGCGGAGGAGGACAACAGGCGGAATGCGCTGGACGGCGTGGAGTACATGCGCGTGGCCCACGCCTTCACACTCCGCTTGGGCAAGCGTATTGAGCGCAACGACACGGTGATGGGGCACGCGGAGAGCGACGAAATGCCACTGTCGTCATTGCCTGAAGTGACTGGCACGTCAACACCGCGGAAGTCCACCAGCGTGTCGGCGGGGTCGCACCGGCGGGGCGGGTCGAAGGGTTGCAACTCCTCTGCTACAGCCGTGCCACTGCAGTGCATCCAACTCCCCGCCGACACGTGCTTTTCGCTTGACGATGTGGAGGCGCGCGTGACCAAACTTGAGGCTGCCGCACAGGCGATGGTTGATTCCCTCCTCGAAAAGCCCAAGAAGAAGCGGGGATGACGTTCTCAGCGGGTGATGCTTGCCGTGACGAGTAGAGACGACGAATGAGTAGTTGTGTATATCTGTCTGTCTGTGGGTGTGTGTACGTGTGGCAGCGCCCACGGGCGAGAGGAGGAGGAGGATGAGGGAAGAGGAGGGGATGAATGTAGATAAACGACGTATTGTATGGAGCCCCCTTTTGCTCTTTCTCCAACTCTGCACGCGCGTTCTCTGTGTTGGAGTGATGTTGGCATATACAAGAAAGAACCCCCAAACAAAAAAAAAAACAACAACCAAACTGAGAAAAATGGGTTTGGGTGTGTGACTAACTTTAAGGGTACCGTGCCGTACTCTGCCTTGCTTTCGTTATTGCATTTCTATCTCTCTCTCCCTCTCCCTCTCACACGCATACACACACACCTGCATACGCATATATATATATATATATATATAAACATACTGGAATAGAGAGAGGAAAGCTGATGCTAGCCTTCTGCAGCAGGTCACGAGTGACAACACCTGCGGCTGCGGCCCTGCTAGTGCAGCGCCGCCACGTAGAGTACTGGGCCTCCTCCGTCACGGGTCGCACGCAGGCGTACGCGCAGGGAGACATGCTTCCTCGCGTCGACAACACACGCCATGCCATCAACAAGTCAAGTAGTGCTGCTGCTAGCGTTACGGGCAACCACTTGGGCATTGCATATGACAGTAGCAACATCTTCTCCGTTGAGCAGTACAGCCGGCTGGAGAAGGAGCATTACCAGCCGTTGCGCGGGGTGTCGCGCTACAAGGTGGAGCCGATCCAGCCAAGCGACGGCGCGAAGACGCGGGAGTTGATAGAAGAACTTGAGGCGGACGTGCAGGTGGGGCTCGACACGGCGTGGTGGGGCGCCGTGCTCAAGGACTTTCCGTCGCTCACGAAACCCTGCACCAGCGAGTTCAAGGCGGAGTTCACTGAGTTCTACAAGGATGCAATGACGGTGGCGCACGACGAGGCCGCCGTGACGGCTCTCGCAGTTCCATTCGTACGCCAACAGATGCAGGATCACTTCATCAGTTTCCCCATGTTCTGGCGCATCGCGGAAAAACTGGCAGACGCTCTGGCAAAGGCTCCAGGGGCGGGGCGCCACGAAAAACGAATCTCTCGTATCGTAGTGGAGCGCATCACCAAGATTGCAATGAATACGATCGGGGATGAGCCGTGGGCACACCAGGACATGACGAACCCTTTGCTCTTCGACGTGTCCAATTTTCGCGCGTGGCACGAGGCCGGAAACTGGTAGCAACCTGACTCTGGTGGGGCGGCTTTGTTAGAAGTAGAAGCTGGGAAAGAAACAGGGAAGGGGATTTTCGGGGGTTCGTATATGAAGGAATGTGTGAGTGTGGTGTGGGGGTGAGAAGGGGACGATGCGGATGAGTGTGTTGTGATGATGATAGTAGGAATAGTAGCGGACACGGCATCAAGAAGTTTATGTATACTGCGAGCGACTTTCGAGTTTCAATGGAGGCGCGGCGCAGAAGTTGTTTTTTTTGTTTTTGTTCGGCTTCGGTGGCAAGATTTGCTGCTCCCCCTGCACCAACAGCATGAGGGATGGAGGCCGCCTGCGCGAGTGTGCGTTGCGCCACACCGAACGCGCAAAACGACAAACAAGGGTGACAGTAGCGGTTGCAGGAGTCAGACTCATGGGGTACGGGGTGCCGTCTTCCTATTTCTGTTTCAACCCTCGTGGCCACACCTATAAATCTATAAATATATATCTACACCACGTTTCTTCACTTTCTTTACATTCCATTTTTTTGCTCCTTTACCTTCGTTCACCCCATTGGTGCGCTAGAGAGGAGGGCGAAGTCGAGGCGAAGGACACAGTTGGTGGATGAACTCACGCGGTCGTGGCGTGGTGGGCTTTCGCGGTGGCCGTGGCGGTGCTTCTGGCCCCTCAGCACTGGCACGCAGCAGCAGTGGCCGTGGTGGCCGCGGCGGTCGTGAAGGTTTCACGCGCGGCCACAGCCGTGGACGCGGCGCTGCTGGCCGCCCAAACACACTCACTGCGACGTCGCTGGATGATAGTGACGATGACGGCAACGACAAGAGGAACGGGGCTGCAACGGCCAAGAAGGCGTCAGACGGAACATCCGATAAGCGCTCTACGCCCCGTCCCCAGCACCATGTTGTGACGACGGTGACGGAGAGCGGCACAGAGCTACCCAAGAAGCTGAACAACAAGGTGTTCATCGACGGCCTGCCGTACGAGAGCAAGACAACGTCCGGTTCATTAAGCCTCGAGGAGGAGTTGATGCAGTTCGCGACCGCGTGGAAGGTAGGCAAGCCCCTGCGCCTCATCAAGAAGGACGGGCAGGGGTTTGGATTCCTGGTGTTCCACTCTCCACACAGCGTCGATGTGGCGGTGCGTGTGCTAAATGGCCGAAAGTTTCTTGGCCGCACGCTGCGCGTGGAGGTGCCGAAGCTGAAAGACATGGAGCCAACTGTCGACAGCGAGCGCGACGCGGGCAAGAGCAGCTATGCCCGCCAGGTGCTCCTCTCCGACCTCGCGAAGGTCGCGCAGCCGGAGATTATTCGTGAGATTCTGCGTGACGTGGCGCCGCAGTTAGAGAAGCGCCTCGAGTCTATCAAGATGACATCGAAGAACCGCAAGGCGTTCCTTACATTCCTCGCGGAGAGCGATGTGGAGCCCGCGGTGAAGTTCCTTGACGGCTTCGCCATGTTGGGCCGCCGCACCACCGCCACCCGCGCTGCCGCGCCGGGATCGTTGCCGTACTCGAAGGTGCCGCACCGCAACACAGCGACAGGCAAGGACGATAGTGACGGGATCAGCAACAACAACAACAACAACGGCGATGATGATAATGATGATGACGGTGCTCCAGTGTTGCCGTTAGGGGTGGAGCCACTGGCGTCCACACGGCAGGTGGGGAAGCGCACGGAGGTGGTGAAGGCGTCCAAACAGGGGAAGCTGAGTAACGTGACGGGTGTGACGGAGAAGTACAACCTGCTTGACAAGGGGCCGGCAGAGGTGTTCGTCGGCAATCTTGGGGAGGAGATCACACAGGAGCAGCTTTGCAACCACTTCTCTGTAAGCGGGAAGATCAAGAGTTGCGAGATCCTCACTAACAAGGACACGTGCCTCCCCACTGGAATCGCACGCATCGTCTTTGCGCTGCCAGCCTACGCGGCCCACGCGCAGCAGCACCTGCACGGCTCACGCCTGCAAGGCCACATCCTCCGCGTTGACCGCGGCGAGGAGGCGAGCGCGCCGCTGGCGTCAGAGTTGGCGCCGCCTGATGATGAGGAGGAGATTGACGAGGATGGTTACATGGAGCAATACGGTGTGACCGACAAGGCAGCATACTTCAAGGGGACCTCATTGGAAGAGAAGCGTAAGCGCAGCGCTGGCGGCAACAGCAGCACCAGCGTCAGCAGCAAGCGCACGAGAGAGGACGGAGCTGACAGCAAGAAGGCGAAAACGAAGACACGAACGGAGGAGTTTAAGGTGTCTGGCTCTATACCAGTGTATGACGACGATGATGACGATGATGAGGAGCGTTTCCTTGACGTGGATGATGTGGGTGTACCGACAACATCGGCTTCAGGCGGGCGGCGCAGCGCAAAGAAGCGTCCAGTGGCCGCCAAGCCACAAAAGAAAGCAAAAAAGTCGTCGAAGTGAAGAGCGACACCTCTTGTCGTCACGCACCTCACCTCGCTTGGCGGGGGGAAGACGTAACACATATTTGTCGAGGTGATTAAGAAAGGGGGTGTGACTACGTGTAAAACAAAGACAAGAAACACGAAAAAAACAAAAACAAAATAAAAACAAAGAAAAAAAAAACAACACAACCAAAACAAGAAGAAAGCATACTTCCCGATTCTTACGTCTGCCCTGTCGATAGATACACACATATGTGTTTATGTGCATGCCTATCTGTGTTTGGAACTTATGCTAGCTGTCTATTGTTTCTGTTTCTCTTTTCTGCTTTTTCTTCGCCCACATTCCTCCTGCAGCAGAGAGAAGAAAGAAACTTGGGGTGATACCTTTGTGTGTGTGTGCGTGTGTGAATGCCCCCAGTGACGGGCCGCCCCATCGGCAGGCCCCCCGGCCAGTACCCCGTCATCCACCGCACCCGCAGCTGGCGTGGCATCATGCAGGTGCGCTTCAACGACACACGCGCGGACCGCAACAGGTTACTCAAGCACGCGGTGCTGTGGTCCCCGCTGAGGGTCTTCGGGCTCTGCTTCCTCACAACAACAGCGATGTACTTCACTTTAGGACACGATCGTTTCATGCACACAATTTTTGGCTATGAATCGGAGATGCACTATGAGGCTCGCGTAAATCCCGACGCTAGCATCATGTTTGGTGAGACCCTGCTTGGAAAGGATCGCAGCTGGAGTTCGCCCGTGCGTGATTTAGAGAAGCCACTGCACCCGAAACGGGAGTTCGACGTTCTGCGGGACCCCAAGTCTACTTAGTTGGTGTGGTGTGCCCCAAGGTTTTTCTCACTGGTGCATGGGTGTGCTGCTGGAGAGAATAGTATA